ATATATATTTGTATAAATTTCAATATATAAATAAAAATAAAAAAGATATAAAATTAAAATGGTGAGACCCAACAATACTAATGCTAAAAAAACATATTTTGAAAAGAAACTAATAATTTTTTTTTAAATATATTATATATTTTCAAATAACGTGTTTGTTGAACTACCAGCCACAAATTTCCAAGATGTACGATGAAAATAATAAAACCACCGATGTTGAACAATGAGCAAGTCCATAAGGACCTTCTTAAACCCTTATAAGTCTAACCATATTAAAACTAGTTTTTTAAACTCATATATGAAATTAATATATAGCTAACCTTAATTTATAACACCTCTATTTCCACCATCAACAATCTCATATTGTATCCATCGAAATCAACCATCAAACTAATATAAATATCGTAACCCAAGACCTAACTTACAATATTGTAGTTTCTATTACTCCAGCGCAAAGTAAATAAAATCTGGAAACCTTAACTTACAAATTTGGATTGAGTTACACGTCTAATGCATAACCACAACTAGAAAAAGGAGTATCATCGACGAATTTTACCAACGGCCTAATTCCGTCTGTAAATTTCGACGGATTATCGACGGAAAACCCACCAACGTTAACCTTACACACGAAAACACTATCCATTGTTGATTACCGACGGACACGTGGAATTTCATTTTTTCACTTTCTTTAATCAAAATCCACTTGGCCATCGATAATTTATTGGTAACAATGATGGAACCACGTGGGACACTTAAGTGTTTTATAACTTGAACACTTAAGGTAATCTTTTAATATTGTTGATTACCGACGGTCACGTGGATTTTCGATTAAAAAAAATTAAAAGATGAAATTTCATATGTTCGTCGGTAATTAGCGACGAACAGGTGGTTTCCGTCTGTAATTCATAGATAATAGTGATGGATTACCGACAATTAATTTATTTTTCTTGTTTTTTCAAGTTTTTTTGTATCCGTATGCACTTTTTTGATTGATTTTGTATAATTTGTTGTGTGTATGTGTATATGTGTATGTTTATATGTATACATGTCTATGTGCATGTGTATACGTATATGTATATGTATACGTATATGAATATGTATACATGTGTATAATTATGTTATATACTATATATATATATGTGTGTGTGTATGGGCAATACATATGTATATGTGTGCATGTATGTCTATTGTCTGTATGTGTCTATATGTATATGTGCATGCATCTGGTTGGTTGCTAACCACTTAAATGATGGATCTATGTATATACATTGTATATATATATGTGTGTATGTGATATAACATGGATATATATATATATATATATGTATATATGTGCATGTATAATGTATGTGTTGTTTGGTAACCCCATATGATGAATCTCTATATATATAGGCGAAGGATCGTGTGAGATCGAGAGTTAAGATGAGAAGCATAAGAAGGGATTTGGACCCTTGATCATCTTTAATCTCAAACTCACTCATGAATCGTGCTTGATACAAGGATTGATCCGGTGCATATCGGTGTATCTTATCCTAATGTGCATCCAGAGATAGAGATCTTTTTTTACGTTTCTCAACTTAACTCTCTTTCTCACCAGAACCCAACCCTATATATATATATATATATATATATTGTATCTGTATATGATATCATGTATATATATACCTCCCATATTGAAATTTTTACAACAATCTCTCTACCAAACTCCCCCTACCAAACATCAATAAACTTCTAAAACAAATGGTTGTTAAGACCTCATTATCAAAACCTCTGTTTTTTCAAATCATGCCTACCAAGATAAAGTTATCCACTAAAAAAACGGAAGTTGAAATCAAAGATATATATGATAAATGGCAGAGTAAAAAGGCGTTGTAGGATCAAATCCTCCAAGGGATCTAAGAGAAAAAGAAAACCGTAAAGCAGTTGCAAAAAGATATTTGAGCTGATAGTGCACGTGCCAGTGACCTAAGTCAAGCATTTTAAGTAATGCAGGACATGATTGATGAAAAACAGTTATAGATTGCTTTGTGTAAAACACTTTATCTGGAGGAGAATTTACGTATATGTTTAGTTTTGTTTCACGTTGTATACTTATGTTGTTTTCTGTTGATCCTCTCACTCAGTGATTTGATGATAATCCCTATTATCTATCGATGTAATTTTGTTTATGTATTTTCAGTTCCAGCGATCATACACTGAGTATGTTCAGTGATCGCTGAAGAACTTGTTTTGTAAATCTCAGAGACAAACAATACTTCAAGAAGACAACACTCACACCAAAGAACCTTCAGCGAATATCGAACAATGAAACTGAAGATTAGAGACTGGCGAGTTCGTGATCTGAAGCGATATTCAATGATTACGAGCCTATCTACAAATGTGTGAAGACTGCTCTAGCTTCAGCGAATGATGATGAGACCTCCAGGTTATTCCAGCATTCAGGTTATTCCAGCATTCAGCGATCAAAGGAAGCTTGCTTAGCACGATTGTTGTTGTCTTGTCCTTTTGCACACAAAGGACAAACCCATACCCTTACTAAAGT